GGCATAGTAAGACACCTTGTGAGGAGATACAGACCATCATGGGCATCAAGATCGCTTATTCTCTCCTCCACTCTCATCAGGTCATTCAATTTGTCCCTGAGGACAGTGTCGATGGCCTGGTGACCCAGCGGTGCCCCCAAGAGGATACTGTTGGACGGAGTGGTAGTTGAGACTTCCGGGAGGATTCTTCGCACAGCATTGATTATTTCCTGGTTCGCTGTGATGATTTCCACACTTGGAGGGATTGAGGATGAGTCCCAAGTCTTTCTCCCTGTGTTTTTTACCAGTTGTAGGTCCCCCACCAGGGACTCTTCAGTACCTGCCAGAGTGCCGTCATCCAGGTACCAGAAACTGAGCTCACTGCGTAGGCTGGAAATTAGTTCTCTTACTGCCAAGCAGAAGAGAAGTGGAGCGAGTGGGTCACCCTGCTGAACACCTTCTGATAATTGAATTTCATGTTCTCCAAACAAAAGAATTGAGGGTTTGCTGTAGCCGGCTGAAATGAAGGGAAAAAGACTGGGGAACCGATCCCGAACAGCTGGCAAAACAGCATCTCTCTTCACCATATTAAAGGCATTTCTAAAATCAAGTTTGACTATGGCCTTGTGTTCTGGTAGGTCTCTGATGTAGACCCTTGCGGCATGAGCTGCAGCTTCACTGCCTTGAGAGACCCCAAAGCCCAGTTGGTGTGGCTGGAGTAAAGTGGCAGCTTCTAGGCGAATGTTTCTCACTGCTGCTTTGGCAACGAGACGGCGAAGAGTGTTTCCAATTGCAATGGGTCTGATTCCCCCATCCCTCTTCTTCAAAGCACATAGTGAGGCTCCAAAAAAGAAAGGTTTAATTTCTTCTGGGATTCTCCCAGCCAGGCAATTGTTGACGAAAGTTGTCAACTCGGAGAGAAGAATTGATGCAGATTCACCGAGTACTGGATTTACCATCTCTTTGAGGTGCTGAGGTCGAATTCCAGTGTAACCAGTGTAACGAATGCGGCCATCCCTGTTGCGTGCTCGAAACTCTCCACACACCTGACATGTGCCTCTTCTTTCATTGTTGGGTGCATTGTTTCCCTGGCTTTGTGGCTGGCTGGCTTCATCATCTGCCATACCTCAGACTATGTATATATATATTATATATATATATATATATATATATATTATATAAATATATATTATAATATATATATAATATATAATATTATATATTATATATTATATATAATATATATATATATAAATATATTTATAATATATATAATTGATATATATATTATATAATATATGTCGTGCCGAATATGTAAAACTAGTCAATTAGCAAGAACTCATTTAAAATTAAGTTCTTTCTGAAATTTTCTTTTATGACGTTTTAAAGATATATTTTTTCATTAATGTTAAGTAAAAAAATTTTTAATTTTGCACTCAAAAGAATCTTAGAAAACTTACCCAACCTTATTATAACAAGAACAAATTTTTTTTAGCCTAACCCAACTAAATATATTTTAGATTTGTTTACAATAATTTAATATTAAACAAACACAGTGAAATATATTTTTTCGTCAGGTTTCAGAATGAAATTTGGCGAAATTATTGCAATACACCAAATTTTCACTTGTCCTATATGGCAAGATGAACGTTGCTATTTAAGCCAAGATCGCAAGTTCTGCCTATTCGGCAGAACTTGCGTATATATATATATATATATATATATATATATATATATATATATATATATATATATATATATATATATATATATATATTATATATATATATATATATATATATATATTATATATATATGTACATAGTCTAGGTATGGCAGATGATGAAGCCAGCCAGCCACAAAGCCAGGGAAACAATGCACCCAACAATGAAAAAAGAGGCACATGTCAGTTGTGAGGAGAGTTTCGAGCACGCAACAGGGATGGCCGCATTCGTGCACACAATGGGTGTGCAGGATCACATATGCCCCCAGCAGAGAGCAGCCCACAGCCTCCACAGGCAGATGACAATTCCAATGGCAACCTCGTCACTTGCGATAACCTTCTGTTGGCATTCAAATCCACTGCTAGCAGTACACTATCCCACATCCCTAAAGCGGTTCGCCCATTTGCAGCAGGGAAATTCACAGACCTTCTTAAGCGGGTGAATGGAGGTTCCACCAACTTAGAAGCCCGAGGCACCATCCAAGCATGGCGCAACCTACTCTTGTGTGCGTGTATATATATATATATATAGAGTATATGGAGAAAAAGAGAGAAGTTAAGAGAGTGGTGAAGCAATGTAAAAAGAGAGCAAATGAGAGAGTGGGTGAGATGTTATCAACAAATTTTGTTGAAAATAAGAAAAAGTTTTGGAGTGAGATTAACAAGTTAAGAAAAGCCTAGAGAACAAATGGATTTGTCAGTTAAAAATAGGAGAGGAGCGTTATTAAATGGAGAGTTAGAGGTATTGGGAAGATGGAAGGAATATTTTGAGGAATTGTTAAATGTTGATGAAGATAG